GAAAAGAAGGAAACGGCTGCAAACGAACAAAACCATCAGAAAGACCGAAAGATCAGAAACTCCTGTGCCGGAGGAGAGCATGAAGCTCACCAACCCGACCCGCAGAGGCCAATGCCAACAGAAAAAGAGCCTTGGAGAAACAATCCTGAACTGAAGAGGCCACAACAAACTGAGGAGAAGAGACGGAAGGACCGCCAGGAAACTTTGTACTGCCGCCGAGACGAAACCCACAGGTGGGACACTAACAAAGAAGCCACCTGATCACCATAGAGATGATGATAAACCTGAGTCAAATACACCATACTCGAAGACTCGAGGTGAAGATCGAACCAGCCACATGACGTACCAGTCCGATCTGTTGGAAGAGGAGTAACCGCGGGAAAACCTCCGGGGTTCAGACACCAGGGAAGCAGTGCCTGAAACCACGGCCAGGCTGGCCACAATGGGGCCAAGAGGACTACTCTTCCCTGGTAGGTCTCCAAGCGAGTCAGGACGTGGAGCAACAGCTGAACCCGGGGGAAAGAGGTATAGGAACCCCCACCTTGACCCGTCCTGCCGAAAGGCATCTACCCGACGGCCTCGCAATCGAGGAACGGCGCCACGACTACTCCGACGGGAAGAGATCCACCTCGGGGCGCCTGAACGTCTGGCAGAGTCGACAGAAGGAGTTGGTGTCGATAGTCCATTCCGGGGAGAGGGGAACAAAACGGTTCAGGCTGTCGGCTAAGACGTTGGACACTCCCTGCATGTGAACTACTAGGAGAGCCAAACCCCAAGAACTCAGCAGACGAGTCACCCGAAGCGATCAGCGCCAAAGACTGCATCGAACACCCTTGGTTCAGGCAATGAACCACCGGGGAGTAGTCCGAATGGAGCCGGATCATCGATCCGTGGGTAGACTAACATCGCGAAGCTCAGGCTCCCGCACAAACCCTCGAGCAACTGCCTCGTCACCCGGGAGCCCACCAGAAACAGGCACAAGAGGGACTGCGTCCAAATGAGAGACTCCGGAGGAAGAGACAAGGAAGCGGTCCGAGAGTCCCACACAAGACCCTGCCATGACCGAACCTGGGAGGGCACCAGATGGGACTTCCTTCAGTTCATCAAGAACCTGAACTGGCGAGCTGGGAAAGAACCAAATCCCTGGCAGATAACTGGACTGGCTGGGAGCCCAAACTAGCCAGTCGTTAAGGTAGGCCAACACCCGCACACCTAAGAGACGCAGACAGGCCACGACGACCCGCGTGAGGTGTGTGAACACGCGAGGTGGCAGGTTCAACCTGAATGGGAGACAACGAAAGCGGTAACCTAGACGCCCCACAACAAACCCGAGCCAGTCCCTGAACCCCAGATGAATCGGGATTTGCCAATAAGCGTCCCAGAGGTCCAGGGACACCATCCAAGAACCCGGCTCCAACAGGAGCCAAACTTGAGACAGCGTAGTCATGAACCTGAACCATGGTCGAAGTGACTCCAATCCCCAAGTCTGCCCTATTAGCAAAATGGGGCAGCCTCGGAGCATCCGGGTGAGCAACCAACCTAGCACGTTGCAACAACCTTAAAACGCGCATGCAACGCCTGCACCGCCTGTACCCACACAAGATCATCAGTGGACTGGGTAAATTGAGTCACCAGCAAGCAACAGTACTCACAGGACTCAGGGTCGAAAGTGTCACCGACCCAACAGGCAGCGTGACAGAGGCAAAAACCGTGATGATCACCCAGAGTCAAGGGAACCAAGCAACCCTCAAACTCGCATGAAGCGAAGGGGGCTCCGGGGACACATCCATCGGACCCACGCACCCCCTAGGGGATTCCCAGGGTCCTGAGCGCTTACTATAAGAGGACTCGCACCCAGGTAAGCCCAGGCAGGGTACTGCTAACCGGTGCCCAAAATTACCAAACAACTTTCTAAAACTGGACCCCCAGGGATGTGTACACTCATGGGGACCTAGCAGGGGTCACCACCAAATTAATAGTGCACAGGCAGGCCCAATGAGTGGAATACAAGGCAGACCCCCCACAAGGTACTAAACAAAAAGAAAAACAAAACCCCGCAAGAGGACAATGCACTCAAGGAACAGAACCAGCCGCCGTGAATGGTGACAACTAGCTGCGCAGTACCCTGCGTCCCACCAGTGCAAACTGCCTCTTACCCTAAGGTAAACAAGGAAGACAAAACCCCCAAGCACCCAAAGGGTAGCTGAGAAACCGAGCAGTCAGACGACCTAGCAGAGGCAGGTCCCGAGGAACTTGTGGAAAGTGGCCCCAAGCCCCAAGGGCAGTACTTACAGGGCACCTAGGGACGATAACCCTAAGCCTGGAAGTTGGAAGGGGCTCTGTTCACCTAGCAGTGAGTAATTTACTCAGGAGTTAGTCAGCTTGTTGTGGGGTTGCATCCAGGGTGAGGTCAGTAATTCGACCTTGGGGGGGGGTCATCAAAAAAAGCTAAACGTGTACTCACCTTGTTGTACTCACCTAGTTGTGCTTGCGGGGGTTGAGCTCTTGCTCTTTGGTCCCTCCTCTCACCTGTCAATCAACTGGTGCACAGATTTCTGAGCCTACTTGGCTCTATCATATCTACATTTGAAACTGTGTATGGAGTCTGTCTCCATCACATCACTACCTAATGCATTCCGTCTGTTAACTGCTCTGACACAGAAAAAGTTCTTTCTTACTTCACTGTGGCTCATTTGGGTACTCAGCTTCCACCTGTGTCCCCTTGTTCGAGTACCCTCTGTGTTAAACAATTTATCGTTATCTACCCAGTCGAATCCTCTTAGATTTTTGTAGGTAGTGATCATGTCTCACCAAGCTCTCCTGTCTTCCAACGACGTTAGGTGCATATCCTGCAGCCTTTTCTCGTAACTCATGCCTCTTAGTTCTGGGACTAGCCTAGTGGCATACCTCTGAACTTTTTCCAGCATAGTCCTGTGCTTGACAAGGTACGGGCTCCATCCTGGGGCCACATACTCCAGGATTGGTCTTACATATGTGGCATTCAAAGTTCTGCATGATTCCTTACACAGGTTCCTGAAGGCAGTTCTGATGTTAGCCAGTCTCGCATACACTGGCGATGTTATTCTTTTTATTGGGCTTCAGGAGACAGGTTTGGTGTGATATCAACTCCTAGATCTTTCTCTCTGTCCGTTTCATGAAGTACTTCATCCCTCATTCGATATCCTGTTTCTGGCCTCTTGTTTCCACTGCCTAGTTTCATTACTTTACATTTACTCGGGTTGAACTGTAGTAGCCATTTGTTGGACCATTCATTCAGTTTGTCTAGATCATCTTGTAGCCTCATACTATCTTTTTCTGACTTAATCCTCCTCATAATTTGTACATCATCAGCAAACATTGAGAGGAACGAGTCTATTCCCTCTGGGAGATCACTTACATATATCAGAAATAGTATAGGTCCAAGGACTGAACCCTGTGGGACTCCACTGATGACACTTCGCCAATCTGAGACCTCGCCCCTCACAGTGACTCACTGTCTGAATATGAATACACTCTGCCTTCCTGTCCCCCGACACAATGAATTAAATTATTATTATAATTATTAAGAATTATTATCCCAAATTATGGTTGTGTGTGGGTTTGTTTCCTACTGCAAGATCTGCTGATGGGGGTGTAACAAGAGTTACCTATACGCTTGTGTGGTCATCACCCCTGGCTCTGCCATGTGAGAGTAAGCCCTTTGCTCTAGCTGAGGATGCATTTAGTCACAAAAGTGGTTGTTTGTGTACGTGTCCACATACTTATTCAGTTGCAAGGTGGTTCAGGTCATGGCCTGGTATTTATTCAGTTGAGACACTTAACTGTGCCAGCCTCACCCAAGGCTTTGATGGGGTCAGCAGAGCCCACTGTTTCCTCCTCATTCATATTATTTCTATGGGGTTCAGCATTCCACACTTTGGGAGCTTTTGTTGTTGATACTGTCTCTATTCTCATGCTCATAGGGTTCAGAGGGAAATGTTGACTCTGTCCAGGGCCTTCTTTCTTTACAGGGGAGGGAGACAGTCCCAGGGATTTTGGATTTCTGGAGGAGCCTTGGTTGCCCTTTGAGTCTCTATGAAGGTCAGTACCTGGTCTCGAGGGTTTGTTGCACTGTTTGGCAATGTTTTCTTTTCCTCTATCTTGGAACAAGATTCATTCCTTCAACTCTTCCTCACAGGTGCATTTCCATTTTTTATTAATTGCTCAGAAGAATCCTCTTTATGAAGATTCCCATCTCTACATCATTTTCCCCTACTTTGGCCTAGGCATGGACTTTCTTTGGTCTCTATTGCTGGACCAGAAACATGCATCTGAAGGAAACACAAACACTTTTGTGAATTGGTTGCTTTCTGCTTCCTGGTTCCAGAGGTCTAGGCCTCTCACTACTTGTTGGCTGCATTTTGGCCTAGCTGCACTTGTCTGGCACTTGAGCATTTGGCACAGAGGTGATGTTCTTGTGTCCCGGGACCTCCTCTCCTGTTGTCTTCATTCACAGATAAGCTCAGTCTGTTTTTTTCTGTATTCTTAATCTTTTGTTTCCTTTCAGGAAAGCCAGCTGTTTTTTTTCCATAATTATTAGATCAGCTATTGTGTAAATCACAAATAGAGGTAATGAACCACAGTTTTATAACTAAGGATATGATTTATATGATGGTATAACATAAAATCAAAGTCCATTGTTACAAATTGTGTACAGTATTTTAGTTTTGAACATTTCAGAAAAGTTAGAGAAATTTGTATCAAATAGTTGACCAAAATATGATTATACATTATACAGTATACTCAGGTATATAATAACTTAATGGTGTTGCATCTGTTTATAAGTATCATACTGTAGAGGGAATACTGTATACATTGAACAGTGATTATTTAAACAATATTTTACTTTTGAACAAAATATAAAATTATCTTCATTTTATTTCTTTGATAAGAAACATAATTATGAATTCTGCCCAGTGTAAAAATTATTTATTATTGTATATTGATAAATATTTTTCCAGTTGGCAGGCTGAAGAATGGACAACATGTACAAGTTCTTGCGGAACTCCTGGATGGCAGTTCCGTCATGTGTACTGTGGCCAGAAATTTGCAGAAGGGCGTCTATCCATTGTGAACGATTCAGTGTGTGACAATATCCGTGGACCCAAACTACAGACTGTTCGAGAATGTAATAAGGATTCTGTATGTGCATCTTGGCATGTAGGAGAGTGGACACCAGTAAGTCACTATTTGTTTCTTTTACTGTCATTATATTGATTTAAAAATAGTAAAAGTAATGGATTTTTCAGGCATATTCTCTCAGAGAGTGTGCATAATTGAATAATTATAATTTATTGTGTTATTTATTTATTTTTTTTATTCTTATTAATTTTATTATTCATTTTAACTGCGTATAATATATCACCTATAATAGTGAGGTTTTTACTACTATAGTTGGTCTTTGGTATGTTATGATAATGGGTTCATGCAGATCATGGTTCAACAAGCTACTAAATTTGATGAAAATTAATGTTAATGTGGGTTTTATTGATTGTGGAAGGCTGTGATTGTTTATTGTGATTGTGATGTGATACTGGCTGGTCAAGTACCTCTGGCTCCAGTTTTGTTTTCCATTACTGTGCCTTGTGGTGTGATCTGTCTCTACAGGTGGTGTGTGAGCCAGGAGTGATATTGTATGGTACTTAGGCTGCATTCTCCTAGGGTTTTCTTCCCTAGGTGCCCTATAAGTACTGCCCTTGGGGCCACCTTCCACAAGTCGCAATGGGGTCTACCTTTGCTGTGTCTTTTACTGCTTGGTACTTGGCTGCCCTTTGAGTCAGCTGGGGGTCTTTGTTGTCCTTGTTTGCCTCTGGGTAGGAGGTAGTTTTCGTCACTGGTAGGGGCGCAGGATACTGCACAGCTAGTTGTCATCTATTATAGCGGCCGGCTCTGTTCCGCCTGGGTACGTTGTCCTCTTTTGGTTTTTTTCTTTTGTTTTTGTTTTCTTGCCTGGTGGGGTGGGTCTGCCCTTCGTTGGTTGCCCCCTTTTCTTTTAGGGTCCTTCTCTTATATATATCAGTGTTTGGTGGTACTCCCCACTTGGCCCCATCCCCCCCATGAGTGGACACGTCCTGGGGGTTCAGCTTTAGAAGTTTGCTTGGTAGTTTTGGCCGCCAGTTTGCAATACCCTGCCTGGGCTTCCCTTAGCATGTTACCAAGGCTAAGGGCCCTGGGAAACCCTGCAGGGGCTCTGTGGTCCAATGGATGTGACCCTTGAGACCCCCCCCCCCTTGCTTTATGCGAGGTTCATGGTTGCTCTGTCCCCTTGTCTCAGGGTGACATTCACTGGTTGTGCCTCCGCTGGGCTTCCTGTAGGATCAGTGGTTCTATAGACCCAGAGTTGTATGTTGTTGGTGCGTGCTCCAGTTCACCCTCGCCACCGATCATGGTCTGGGCATGCAGGCAGCAGTTGCATTTCATGCTAGGTTCTAATTGCTGCAACGCAATGGTTTGGTTGCTTTCCCCAGATGCCTCGAGACTGCCCCGTTTAGGTTTTAGGGACTCGGGCTTGGGGGTGGGAGTCGCTTCGCTTTTGGTGCCTTCCGCACTTCCTCCCCCTTCTGTTGTGCATCTGCCTCCCCTCACACCAGGCTTACGGCTCTGGCCCTTCCGCTGATTCGAAGGCGGGGCAGGGGTTTCGTTGGTGTTGAGTCTTGGGTGGTTTCGGGGGTTTCTCCTTTTGGGGTGGTGGTGAACGCATTTGAGCCTGTTCCTACTCCTGCCGATGGGTATGGGTCTGACCAGTGGGCCCCCTTCCTTAGTGTTTTTTTGACTGCCCTGGCTTTTTCTTGTGAGGCCGGGCTTCAAGGGGGACGGCTCAGCTCCGGGTCCTTATTGTGAGGTTCCTGGGGCGAGGGAGGGGTGGACTTGGGGTTCTTGGACCCTGTTGGTTCACCGCCTGGGTTTTTGTACCCTCAGAGCAGGGCTTGGTGTTACTAGGCAAGGGTTTTCTTTTGCTCCCTCCTTGTATGACTTGGATTTTGCGTTTACCCCTCCCCGGGTTCAGTTCCGTTATCCCGTAGGTTCCTCGGTCCTGTACTTCCGGGGGTTTTCGGCTTCCCATGTACCTTTTTATGTGGGGCAGAAATCCCTTGCGGCGTACCTACTGTGTGCCTCCAATTATGCTTCGTGTCTAGATCTTCGTGTCTGTACTGTCTTTGTTATGACGTTCTGGGGTTGTCCTGGTTTGCGGACTGCACGCTTTTCTCGATGTAGGCTTGGCACTCGTTCTGTCTGTCCCTCGCGCTTGAGTGGAGGGAGGCTTGGATGGTATTGCTGGTTTTCCTGGGTGCGTTTGTGTGTCTCATGGCATGTTATTCGCCCCTGATCTTCCGCAGGTGGTTGGTGTGATGCAGCTTTGTGTGCAGGTTCCTTCCCTTCGGCTGTTTTGGTCGCGGTGGCCTTGTGTACACGTGGCCTGCTGGCATCGGCCCTGCTTTTCTTCTCCCTCCTCAAGCTCTCCTCGGATTGGCTTGTGTTCGATGTGTGGGAGCTTGGGGCTGCCACTGGGTCTGGCGCATTGCACTCAGTGGTGTGTGTGTCATCTACATTGTTGGAGCTGTTCACGCCTCCTGCAGGAAGTGGTTCGCTGGTTTTGCTTCTCACCTCGCATGTCGGCAGGTGGTGCTAGCTTTTTCTTCGGATTCTGATTGGGGCCCCTGGCTCTTGGGTTTTCTTCGCTTTTTTGTCATTTGCTATTTGCGATGTGTGCGGTTGTGCAGTATGTGCAGGCAGCTTTGGCGTGTTGCTGTCATATGTCGGACTTGTTGGTCCTTCAGGGGACTCGTGGGAGTCCTTCCCAGAGGGGGGTCGTGCCTGGACTTTGGAGTTTTCCTGTTGTGTAGGCCTGTGGTGCCCTATTCGGGGCAGGCACAGCCTTCGGTTCCATCTTCAGCTGGTCGGCGTGGGGATCACCCTGTGCATCGTTAGGTTCTCATATGGTGCGTCAGCCTTTTCGCGGTTCGTTTCATTGCTAGGGCATGGGGGGGGGGTGCTCGCTCTGTTTGCTCGCGCCTGGTCCCTCAATTTGTGGGCTTTTCGGGTTGTTTCATGTAGCCTGCGGTGGCGTTGGGTGGCTCCTCCTCCTTCCGTGGGTTTTGGGCTGGTGAGGCAGGCCTCTTCTCCTAGACTCTGGCTGGGTCTTGTTTAGGGCTCTTGGAGCCACTCCTTGTCTTTCCCTCCAGAAGCATTGGTGTGGCTGTGGTCCTGCCTTCGGCTGTTTATGAGGGGGTTCCAGGTCGCTCGGCGGTTGTTCGAGCAGTTGTGCGGGAGTCTGAACTTCGACGTGCTGGTCTGCCTGCAGGGTCGGTTTGGCTCCGGCATCTGTTTGGTTCTTTCTGGGTCTCCCCTTCCGCCTCTCTTGCAATTGTTGGGTTTGTCCTCCGGGATCTTGTGTGTTGGTGCTGCGTCACCAGCTTCCTCTTTGGGGTTTTTGCGGCTCCGTGCCTTGGCACCTCCCCCGAGCCTTCGCTCGATGTGTTCACGGATGGGTCATCTCTTGGCTGGGGCTTTGTGACCAGTGCTCACCAGGTCGGCTGGGGATGGTGGGGTCTGTCCATCTGTCGGGCTCACAGCATAGTTCAGGAGTTCGTGGCTGTCTGGTTTGCGCTTCGGATGGTTTGGGTCACTCGGTGCTCTACCATCCAGCTCCATTCGGACTGTTCTCCGGTGGTTCTTTGCCGGAACCACAGGGTTTCTCTTAGGTCTTTGACCTTTGGGGTTGGTCCCATTGAGTGACTCGTTTGCTGGATTCTCAGGGGTTTGGCTAGCCGTGCGGTTCATATCCAGGGTGTGTCCTGCATCCTGGTGGACAGCCTGGCTCGGTTCATTCCTCTGTTCGTGAATTTACCGGGCGTCGCCGAATCATTTCGTTGGCTCTGCCAGATGTATGGACTCCTGGCCATGGACATCTTCGCATCGGCGTGGTCTCGGCATCTTCCATTCTATGTGGCGCCCTTACCCACCTGCGAGGCGTTCATGTTGGATGCCTTTCACCAGGACTGGTCGAGGTGGGAGTACCTGTTCCTTTTCTCCCTTTCTTGTTGCTTCGGGTTCTGGCTCGATTGGAGTCCATTCCCAAAGAGAGTAGTCCTCGTGGTTCCTTGGTGGCCGGCCCAGCTTTATTTTCAGACGCTGCTTGATAGGTATCTGAACCCAGGGCGTTTTCCCGCAGCGTTTTCCCGCAGCTCCGTCTCTTTTGGCAGGTCGGACCGGTCCTGTACATGACTGGTTCGGTCTTCTCCTCGGCTCTTCGCATCTGGTATTTTGATGCGGGTGTATCACCATCTCTATGGTGAGCAGGTGGCTTTGTTGATAGTGTCATATCTGCGAGCTTCGTCTCAGTGACAGTATGACGTTCCTGGTGTTTCTATTCACCATTTTCTTGCTCTTCGTAGGTTGTCTTCTCTTTCGCATTGGCTTGTCTTGTCCTTTCTTGAGTTTTCAGGACTTTTATTTGATGCTTCTTACTGTCGCCTCATATCGTGTGTCACTGGCGGAGCCGCTCCAGCTTGCGTTCAAGAGGGACGTCACATCCGCCCGGTTCCATACGCTTTCTCGTGTTTTGTTTCACCTCCGGCCTGCTCATGCATCGCCTGAGCCATCCTGGTCCTTGATGTGGGTGCCCTCTTATCTTCTCCTCAGTTTGTGGTAGCCCCTTCGGTTCAAGATTGCTTTTCATAGGCCATATTTTATTGGTATGGGCCTCTGCGGGTCAGGTCTGGGAGCTTCCGGCTCTCTTCTGATGCAGGGGTTTCTGCTCTTTTGGTACTGGTGGCAGGTTTGTACATTTGCAGCCTTTCTCCGTCCTTCTGGCGACGGTTGAGACGGCTGCTTTCCAGAGAGGTCCTTGGGTTATTGATGCTTGGTTGATTCGACCAGGGGTGCGCCAGGTGTTGTCCGGTTGCGGGTCTTTGCCGTTACCTGCATATTGTGACTGGGGATGCGCTTTGGGTTGATCTGGTTCCCCTCGTTCCCTGTTTCACGGCTCGGGTCTCCCAGGTCGTCCGCAGAGTTTTTAAGTCTACCACCCTGCAGTCTATCCTTGCGCTCGTGCTGTTCGGATGTTTGCAGCTTTCGCTGCCGTGTTTGTGATGTCTAGGGCTCATTTTGAGTGCGAGAATTTGGGGGTCATACAGATTCCTGGCCGTCCGTTCTTTATGCGCATGTCTGCTCCTACGCGTTCTTGTGCTGCTTCAGGTCTCAGTTTGCAGCCTGTTTTTTCGGCTTCGCGTTGCGGAGTTTGTGGCGGCCACCTCCCGGGTCAGCCCTTTCTTTTCCTTCTCTTTGGGTATGAAGGTCCAGGGAGCCGTAGGGGCTCCCTACAGAAAACCAACATTGAATGTAATGAAACGCCATTTTCTGGGTGAGCCCCGGAGGCTCCCTGGCAACCCTCCCTCCCACCGGTCGGCATTTTTTTCGCACTGGTTGAAACTTAGCTTCCGAACTGATGCTAGGCACCTGGCCCGGTGAGGTCCGGGGCCTCCCTCCTCCTCTCGGGGCAGGGAGGGCTGGGATTGTAAGGAGTTTCTACCTCTCTGTTCGGTTTTCTGTTTTAGTTTTTTACCATGTGGGGTTTGTTTTGTTATGCCTACCTTTCTGGGTGCCTAACCCCGGTTGATGGCAGATAAGGAAAACCCAAACCACAAAGGGGTTTTCCAGGGCCATTGCTCCCTGAAACCTCTCTGAAGGGGCCAGGTTCTGTCACTGGTCCCTGGTAGGTCTGAACTCCTTAGGTAATGTCCCGGTCTAATATAACATACATTAGCCCGATAAGCTGCAGGGAGCCTCTGGGGCTCACCCAGAAAATGGCATTTCATTACATTCAACGCTGTTTTTTTCTCTTTCAGGCCTGGTTGTAGGTTTGTTCGTTTGCAAAAGTCTCATTCTTTTCGTGGGAAGAATGAGACGGCATCTTTCCAGAAGTGTCCTTGGCTGGTTGATGCTTGGTTGGTTCAGTCGGGGGTGCATCATGTGTTGTGTCCTGTTGCGGGTCTTCGCCATTATTTGGGCGCCGCGGCCTCTGTGACCGGGGATGTGCTTTGGGTTGACCCAGTTTCCCTTCTTCCCTGTTCAAGGGCTCGGGTCTCCCAGGTTGATTGCAGGGTTATTTGGTCCAGCCATCCTGCAGTCTATCCTCATGCCTATGATGTTTGCAAATTTGCTGCTTTAGTTGCCGTTTTTGGTAATGTCTTGGGGTGACATTCAGGAGCGAGGGTTTTGGAGGTCGAACAGGATCCTGGCCACCCCTTACCTCATTAAGATTCCTGGCCCTAGTCTGGCGTGTGTCACATTGGGTCGTCGGTTGTAGCCAGTTGTCTCGAGTTCGAGTTGATGGTGGTGGCCGCCTCCCGTGTAAGTCCCTCTTTTATTTTCTGAGGTTAGGTAGCTCCGGACTTGTAGGGGCTCTCCACAGAAAACCAGCTTTGAAGGTAATGAAATGCCCTTTTCTGGGTGAGAGGCTCACCGGCAACCCTTCCTCCCTCCCTCCTGCCCTCCAGTTGGCGGTATTCGCGTTTTTGATATTCAGCCTCTTAAGTGGGGTTGGATGGCCGGCACGGGGGTCTGGGGCTTCCCCCCCCTTCCCCCTTCCAGGGAGGGGGGAAGCTGCGCAGACAGTGGTAATTACCTAAGTGTAATTACCTAAGTGTAGTTACAGGATGAGAGCTACGCTCGTGGTGTCCCGTCTTCCCAGCACTCTTTGTCATATAACGCTTTGAAACTACTGACGGTCTTGGCCTCCACCACCTTCTCACTTAACTTGTTCCAACCGTCTACCACTCTATTTGCGAAGGTGAATTTTCTTATATTTCTTCGGCATCTGTGTTTAGCTAGTTTAAATCTATGACCTCTTGTTCTTGAAGTTCCAGGTCTCAGGAAGTCTTCCCTGTCGATTTTATCAATTCCTGTTACTATTTTGTACGTAGTGATCATATCACCTCTTTTTCTTCTGTCTTCTAGTTTTGGCATATTTAATGCTTCTAACCTCTCCTCGTAGCTCTTGCCCTTCAGTTCTGGGAGCCACTTAGTAGCATGTCTTTGCACCTTTTCCAGTTTGTTGATGTGCTTCTTAAGATATGGGCACCACACAACAGCTGCATATTCTAGCTTTGGCCTAACAAAAGTCATGAACAATTTCTTTAGTATATCGCCATCCATGTATTTAAATGCAATTCTGAAGTTAGAAAGCATTGCATAGGCTCCTTGCACAATATTCTTTATGTGGTCCTCAGGTGATAGTTTTCTATCTAGAACCACTCCTAGATCTCTTTCTTTATCAGAATTCTTTAAAGATTTCTCACATAATATATAGGTTGTGTGGGGTCTATGTTCTCCTATTCCACATTCCATAACATGACATTTATTAACATTAAATTCCATTTGCCAAGTGGTGCTCCATATACTTATTTTGTCCAGGTCTTCTTGAAGGGCATGACAGTCATCTAAATTTCTTATCCTTCCTATTATCTTAGCATCATCAGCAAACATGTTCATATAATTCTGTATACCAACTGGTAGATCATTTATGTAGACAATAAACATCACTGGTGCAAGAACTGAACCCTGTGGTACTCCACTTGTGACATTTCTCCATTCCGATACATTGCCTCTGATTACTGCCCTCATTTTTCTATCAGTCAGAAAATTTATCATCCATGTTAGAAGCTTACCTGTCACCCCTCCAATATTTTCCAGTTTCCAGAACAACCTCTTATGTGGAACTCTGTCGAAAGCCTTTTTTAGGTCCAGATAGATGCAGTCAACCCAACCATCTCTTTCCTGTAATATCTCTGTGGCTCGATCATAGAAACTGAGTAAATTCGATACACAGGATCTTCCAGATCGAAAACCATACTGTCTGTCTGATATTATATCATTTCTCTCCAGGTGTTCTACCCATTTAGTTTTGATTAGTTTTTCCAATACTTTCACTATTACACTTGTCAATGATACAGGTCTATAATTGAGGGGGTCTTCCCTGCTGCCATTTTTGTAGATTGGAACTATGTTAGCCTGTTTCCACACGTCTGCTACGATTCCTGTAGACAGGGATGCCTGAAAGATCAGGTGAATTGGAATGCTGAGCTCAGATGCACATTCTCTCAGAACCCATGGTGAAACTCCATCTGGGCCAGCTGCTTTGTTCTTACTGAGCTCCTTGAGCATATTTTCCACTTCATCTCTAGACCCCTCTATCCGCTCTATGTTGTGCTCTGGAATTCCCATTGTGTCTGGTTCTCTGAAGATTTCATTTTGTACAAACACACTTTGGAACTTTTCATTTAATGTTTCACACATTTCCTTTTCATTTTCCGTGAATCTGTTTCCCATTTTCAACCTCTGGATATTATCCTTTACCTGCAATTTGTTGTTTATGAATTTGTAGAATAGGCCCGGTTCTGTTTTACATTTATCCGCTATCCCCTTTTTCAAAATTTCTTTCTGCCTCTCTCCTTACTGCCGTATAGTTGTTTCTCGCATCTTTGTATCGCTGGTATGTTTGGGGGTTTGGCCTCTTCCTATACTGATTCCATTTTTGTGTCTTTTGGTCTCTTGCCCTCTCACAATTTCTGTCGAACCAATCCTGTTTTCTGGCCCTGCACCTCTGTTTTGGTATGAATGTTTGTGTGCCTTCCTCGTATATCTTGAGGTTATCTTGAGGTTATCTTGAGATGATTTCGAGGCTTTAGTGTCCCCGCGGCCCGGTCCTCGACCAGGCCTCCACCCCCAGGAAGCAGCCCGTGACAGCTGACTAACACCCAGGTACCTATTTTACTGCTAGGTAACAGGGGGCATAGGGTGAAAGAAACTTTTGCCCATTGTTTCTAGCCGGCGCCCGGGATCGAACCCGGAACCACAGGATCACAAGTCCAGCGTGCTGTCCGCTCGGCCGACCGGCTCCCCTATATTTTTAAAAATTTGGCATACATTTCATTTACTTCCCTGCCTAGCAACAATTCTGTCCAATTACACTCATTAAAAAATTTTGAAGTTCCCCATAGTGTCCTCTCCTTAAATCGAGTTTATCAACTGTTTCAATGTCCCCATTTTCTTCTAGATGATATCTTAAAGCATAATCAATGTCTAACAGGACGTGATCACTCTTTCCCAAGGGAGGAAGGTACTGGATGTCAAATATCTCTTCTTCTTTCCTGGTGAATACTAGATCCAGTACTGATGGTACATCTCCTTCCCTCATTCTTGTGGCCTGCTTTATGTGTTGATACAAGAATGTCTCCAGAATGAGGTTCACAAATCTGCATGTCCAAAAGTCCTCCGTTCTTGCTTCATAGGCCTCCCAGTCTATTGCTTTAAAGTTGAAGTCACCCAGTATCAACAGTCGTGATTTATCTTTATCTGCTTGTGCAATAATATCTCTCATGACCATTATGAGGCCCTCTCGTTTGTCATCTAGTTCTTCCTTTGTCCATGTGTTACTTGCTGGTGGGCTGTAGGCATTTAAAATTATGAGCTTATCATCCTGATTCCAGACCTGCAATGCCATTAAATGAATATAATATAATATAATATTATAATAAATATAAATGCCACACCAAAGTGGTGTGGCGGCGGTTGTGACGTCAAGCTTGTTTGCTTGTTTTCGGATTGGGAGTTCTACTTGATTGGTTTTCGGTAGCAATTTTTAACCAGGTGGTATTTTTTGTGACGCCTACCTTTCTGGGTGACTAACTTGGTCGATTTCAGATATGGAATGCTTCCAACTATATGGAGGTTTCTATAGGCCATTGCTCCTCGTGCCTCTCTGAGGAGGGCCAGGTTATGGCTTGTGGTTTCTGGTAGGCATAGAACTTCAGTCAAATTGACTGATGCCACAGTTTAATACTTCCCGGTAAGCTCCAGGAAGCCTCTGGGACTCACCCAGAAAATGGCATTTCATTACATTCAATGCTGGTTTTTTATTTTTGCTTGGGCGAGTATGAAAAACTTTCCTATTTGTCACCCTGTATGTTACAGCATGTATGCACTATATCTTTACAGAAAATATTATCAAATACTTACAAAATCTTCTTGTTCGTCTCTAGTGCAACAAGCTGTGCGGTGTTGGTCAACAGTACCGTAAAGTAAGGTGCCATGTGATAACAAATGGTGAAATTGAAGTCCTAGATGATGAGGCCTGTACAGAGGAGAAGCCCCAGACTGAAATGCCCTGTGAAGGCATTCCTTGCAGTGGTGTTGACTGGGTTGTCTCAGACTGGACAGGGGTAAGCTTTAGCAGTAGTTTGTTCCCAAGTATTGTATAATATTATGAATTTGGATGTCCTGATGATGATGGGTTTCCTTAGATTTAATTGTGATGTTTGATTTTGAAAATTTGAATTTAATTAAAATTTTATATTCAACCTTCATTACTGTGATTTTAGCTCTGAATTATAGATTAAACTTATGGTCAGTTTATGTTTCTTTTTATTAGGCTCAGGGAGGAATATTGACTGGAAATAACTTGCTAACATTTAATTATTTTTCAGGATTGAGTTGTTGCTCATGATAGACTTGACAAGATAAAGATATTAACTTGGTATTAGCAGGCAAATTTGTTTAATTTGGTGAAATTTTATTTATGGAACCCAGGAAGGGTTCTCACAATTACAGTTTGTATCTGAGCATGGAGAGGGCAGTAGGTACACTCAGGCCACTGCTAGAGCATTGCACTCTGCTTTATCTTCAGCCCTACTGGAACAAGTAACTTTAAAGATAGCTCTGTCATATTTTCTTGGAACAGTGAGACAGTGAAGCGCATACAATACCTTAATCTATATACTGAGAGAAACTGATTGCTATGTCACTAAAGAGCAAAGAGCACACTGCTTGAAGTGATAGTTACAATGTAACTACCCTCTTCAGACAATCATTTCAAGTGATTTCAAATTTCACTCGGTTTTTACTTTGAAAATGCATAACTGGCCAGCACTTTACTACAATAACCACGATCTACTCTTATCATTATCTAGTACAACAGGATCAGAGGAGGTGGTAACCCTCACTGTGTGCCTAGGGTCTACCTAGAAATCACAGTAGCTCTGCTAAAGCGGATCCAGTTACTATGTATGGGAGGTTGGTGGTGAATTCAATCTTCTCGTAATGCATTTATCAGAATCCGCCCACTGTAAGATTAAGGTTGCCTAGTGTTCCTTCCAGTGCTTTCTGTTTATAGGCCAAGCTTTATCCATATGTGGCTGTGGTTATGTATGTCCAGTATTAGGTCTTTGAGCTTGAAAGTTTTGAGCTTGACCTTGCTGCTCTGCTGTTTCTCAAACTCAGTTGGGTATTCTTTTTTTCGGTGCCCTGTGTGACCTCCCTTAGAATCTGCTTGATCCTTAGTTGTCATCCTTGATTTTTTGTCTTCTCCTCGGTTGTGAGAGGGGGTGATATTCTCAAGGTTCATTTTTTGTTGGCTTCTGCCAAGGGTAATAAGATTAGCTAGCTACATGCTTTCCTACAGCAGCCAAATTCCTTAATATTTCATCTCCAATATTGGTTTGTGTGCCTTCCACCTTCTTCTTTCCTTCTGACATAGAACAAGTTCCTCTGAATTTGGTTATAATACTCTTTTCATTATATTTGGTTTCTTAACCCATTTCTCTATCATAACTTGTGCCTGTTTGCAGCTCTGCACTGGTGTCTCCAGGCTTCTTGTGCCTATTGCACCTTTGCTCTTTATTAATTCCAAAACACTACAACAGGTGGTCAAACTCAACCAGCAACATAATAACCCATGTTCTTTAGATCTATGGCAAATATGCTATCCTCAGAACCTCATTCTCAGTGATGTCCTGCTCGAAAATCTGGATTCAAGACTTTTAGAGGTTGAATTGGACATTTGTTTTCTGATATTTTTCACACCTGCAGTGCTTTTGCTGCAGATGTGTTACCTTAGATAACTGTTATCTGCGTGATTTCTGCAGTTTGCCTTGTCTCCAGATCCTATCTGTTGCATGAATCTACCTTTAGTGTGTCTTGTTCATTTGAGAGTCATTCTCCAGAGTCAGACTAAATCTGTGTAAACACTCCATGCAAATAAAAAAGAGCCCAGTCTTTGAAACTCACTCCATGATAAATTAAAAAATATGTCCAACTCATCCCCTGTTCAAAAGTAAAACCAAAAAATACCAAATTTCATCCTCATAGTTTCCTACCTTATGCTTCAAACTCACACTGTATCTTGTAATATCCACTTCTCCAATATTGGTACTGTACTGAAGACATATCCTTAACAATGTAATCACCTTTGTTAACTTACATTTTAGTTATTTGTTGATATAAAACCTTGCTACAATGTACTTTTTCATCTTAACTGATATGTTAGATAAAGGACCTGCCCAAAACGCTATGCGAGTTAGTGACTTTGCACGAATGTAAAAGTACCAGTCTTATGTAATCTCACCAATCCACTGTACCTTCTTGCAAATAAAAATTATTATTATTATTATTATTATTATTATTATTATTATTATTATTATTATTATTAATTACTATTATTGAGCGAGTTGCTGTGTTTTTGCACCATGGGGAGTTGGCTTGGGAAACTACTGGAATTGATCAGGGAAGGGAAAGGGGGGGAAAAAAATTGAGCATTCAGTGAAATGAAATGCTACATTCTAAGTTATACATCATTTTCTTCTTGTTTCTATTCTTTGGGTCCCAACTTTCCTGAATGTACTTTGGTGGTCTGGGCTTAATCATGGGGGTTGCCACCTCCTTGGACCCTGTTGTACTAACAAGTGCTAATACCAGGTGATGCAGTGTAGTTAGTGGATAGTTTACTATTTATGTATTTTCAGAGTGATAAACGGTGGTTTTCTTGGTAGGCGAATAGAGGTATGCTCTCAATTATCTCGCCACCTCTGGTCTAAGGGACAAGATAATTTGAAAAGTTACTTGTGTAGTTGGGTTCAAAGTTGACCAGAATTGCTACTTGTATAGGAGCAGGGATGAAGTAAGTGGATCCATGGCCCTGGCTAGAGAAGTTAGATATACCACTCAGAAAAATGTTTCATCTTGTTCAACCAACATATTTTTAAACTATGTATGTATTATTCCAACCTATCCTCCTGTTTACATAGTATTTTTTTGTAAGTATGTGCACCATAGTACAATCATTGATGTTCTAAGCAATTAGATAGTAGAATTTTGTACTACTTACTCTATAGTCTGAACAAATAAAGCTAAAAACAAACTTAAATATTCCTAGGCCTAGTATAGAATACATATGTACTGTATTAGGTCTCATATAGTATGTATTAGGCCTAGGAAGATTAGGTTAGGTTAGTTTAATTTGTCATTGCAACATAAATAGGAAATCTTTTCCAGTCTGTCCAAATTCAATATGTCTGATTTCTACTTTCTAATTGCATTGAACGTCAGTATGTATACTATGGTTCTCATCATCACTATAAGTACTACCAAACTGGAGGATGGGCTGAATATTCAGAAAACTATCTTGTAATTTGAAGCAACTATTTAATGAGCTGGTAAGCATCTCATTAAGCAACACTTTGAGCAACACAATATTAGTGAAATGTGTAAGTTACTAAATTTAAGAAATTTTGTTATTTGAATTTTAGTGATTATTGGTTTTGATCCTTTGTAATTTGTATGCAGTGTGGCAGCAGTTGTGGTTTGAAGATGGAGTCCCGAACAGCATTATGTGTGAGCCAAAAGGGCAAAGTGGTGAAAGATGAATATTGCTCAGCTTCACGTATGCCACCAGTATCCCGTAACTGTACTGATGCTGCAGCATGTGAATTCCGATGGTATGCATCTGAATGGAGTGCAGTAAGTATCCATACCTTTGAAGATGCAGTACTACAGTTTACAGTATCATTTAATTATAAAATTGTTAGCTTCTTTAATTGCAGTGTTTAAACCTAATAAAACTGTTTAGTTTTAACATAAATCATACTCTTAGTAATAAATATGATATATATATACCTTAAAATTCTTCAGAAGTATTGCTACTAATTTACACATATCTTCATAGTGTATATATCAACAGAGAATAAGATGCCTCTCTGTTAGTTTGGTGAACAAAAAATAATAAATTACAGCAACTTAGCTTATTACTCTCAATAAATATGATTGCAGTCTCAGGAGCAGTAATCAAGCATTCCTTATAGCCAAACTGATGCCCAAAATTCTTTTAAAATGTTAAATAAGGAGGTGGTCAGTAACTGATGAATCTAGGAACATTAGAAAAACATTATCCTTCCTTCAGTACAAGGACATATTGTATATATAGTATATACGGTACTGGTATACCACACATTTATAAAACTTTTCAAATACTATAGAAGTTCGCTAATCTGGATTATATGGGAAGGACCCCCTTGCTGGATGAGTACGTTTTCCGGATTAACGTACTTTTTCACTGCGGAAGTCCAAAAGTGAACATTTCCAAAAATTTTTATACCACAAACAACATAATTTGAATTGCCTCATATAATTATAAAATATGCAACCAGAAACCTCAACTTACCTTTTTGTAGTTTGTCTTCTTGATTGATGGTACAGTACACATCTTGAATTTTTGGCAATTTATGTAACCTATTCTAACACAACACTAAAATTAACATTTAAAATTACTGTACAGTTCATGAGGCAAGGTCAGTTTTGACTGCCAGGTGCTGAAGCCTCACTGGTTGAAGGCACTTGGCTTGCCTGTGAGGCATACACCATAGCCGACAGCCTGTCTTTGTTAACCTTACTGCCTGGCACACAACCCTCACTCCTCATGGCTAGAGTTTTTTCAGGTAAACTCCTCCAATACAACTCAGTTTCATCAGCATTATAAATTTGGTAAGAATATGAAGTATTTGACAAAATATATGTTCGTAATTTATGTTTAAATGGTTCTACACTGCTTGTATCTGCAATCAGTTTTTCACAAACAATTTTCCTCTTCACAATATTGTGCCTCGCTTTGAACCTTGCAACCCACCCATCACTTGCTTGGATATCCTTAATTTCAAGACTTGCTGCAAACCTACTTGCAGCATTTCTTATTTCTGGACTGCGAATTGTCACACCAGCTGTGCGGTGCTGAGAAAACCACTTGTACACAGCCTCATCCAACTGTTCATGCTTTGAAGGCTTTAAAGTTCTTCTACTGTACCCTTTGCTATTGCTTGCACCTTCACTCTCACTGGTTGAAATGTATTTCAGATATTGCTCTTTTTGTTTCCTTATATCAGAAACAGTACTAGTGCCTATCTTGAGGTTATCTTGAGATGATTTCGGGGCATTTTAGTGTCCCCGCGGCCCGGTCCTCGACCAGGCCTCCACCCACAAGAAGCAGCCCGTGACAGCTGACTAACACCCAGGTATCTATTTTACTGCTAGGTAACAGGGGCATAGGGTGAAAGAAACTCTGCCCATTGTTTCTCGCCGGCGCCTGGGATCGAACCCAGGACCACAGGATCACAAGTCCAGCGTGCTGTCCACTCGGCCGACCGGCTTCCTCCCTGCCTATATTAAAGTCCTTGGCAACACTTGAAGTCAACCGGCCACTTTCACAGAGTTGTATAACACATAACTTGTCTTTATTGTTAGGGTAACCTTCTTTCTCTTAACATCTCCAGAATGATTGCTGCTGCTACCAGACATAGTCTTGGCAAAAAAAAAAAAAAATGATCAAAGTTACTAAGAAAACAAAAAACCAACATTGAATGTAATGAAATGCCATTTTCTATGTGAGCCCCGGAGGCTCCCTGGAGCTTATTGGGCTAATGAATTATATATTAGACCGGGACATTAGCTATGAGTACAGACCAACCAGGGACCAGCGCCAGAACCTGACCCCTTCAGAGAGGTTTCAGGGAGCAATGGCCCTGGAAAACCCCCTTGTGGTTCGGGGTTTTCCTTATCTGCCATTGACCGGGGTTAGGCACCCAGAAAGGTAGGCATAACAAAACAAACCCCACATGATAAGAAACTAAAACAAAAAACCGAACAGAGAGGTAGAAACGCCCTACAATCCCAAGTAAACAAGCAAACATCACACTTTACTGCCGCGCCGATCATCCGCGCAGCCCTCCCCGCCCCGAGAGGGAGAGGGGGGAGCCCCGGACCTACCGCGCCGGCTACCTAGCATCAGTTCGTAAGCTAATGTCAACCGGGATAGACGCTTCTCTGGCCTCAGTTTCCTAAGCGGTGTTTGCCTTGTGTGGCGTTCACTGCCAAGTGTTGTGTTGTGCGGTGGCCAGGAGTACCTCATCAGTGCCGGGGCTGCATGCGCTTAGGGGCTTCCTTCCCTAAGCGCCCTGTGAATACTGCCCCTGTGTGACAGGGTTATCTTCCCTGGGGCGTTCGGGAACCATTCCTGTAGAGGTTCTTGCTGCTCGGCATTTGCCTCGCCTTTGGGGCCAGCTGGGGCTTGGGGCCCTTGTTTGGCCCTGGGAAGGGACTGGTATTGTGCTGGTTAGGGCGTCAAGGTGTTGTGTGACCTGCCACCTAAGCGGAGACCGGTTTCTGTTGCCTCTGGAGACAGTGTACTTTTGCGGGGTTTTTCTTTCGTTTTTATTTTCATTTGCTTGGTGGGGGTCTGCCTAGTGTGGCTATAGTTCCACTGGTAGTGTTTGGTGGCCCTCTGCTAGGCCCCCGTGATTGAACACGTCGCAGGAGTTTTCAGTGTTGTCCCCTTGTTATTTTTGGGTCTTTAACTGGTTAGCAACACCTTGCCCAGGTTTCCCGTAGTTGTTACCCCTACGGGCCCTGGAAACCCCTGTCGGGGCTCGGTGGACGATTGAATGTGTCTTCCGGGGTTCCTACCCGTCTTGTACGGGATTGTTGGTTGCTGTGCCCTTGTCTCCGGGTGACAGTCGCCACTTTTACCTCTGTCATGTTGCCTGTTGGGTCACTGACACCTTGAAAAGACCAGAAAACTGACCTGGAGTCTTGCGAGAGAGATTCTCTGCTTGTTCTCCAGTACTCTCCTGATTTTATTACTGTTTAGAGTACAGGCGGCAATCTGTGTTGCAAGCTAGGTTAGGTTGCTGCGACACGCTAGGTTGGTTCCCACTCAGATGCCCCGGGGCCGCCCCGTTTTGGTTAGGTGCTGTTCGCCCCTTTCCCTCCCTGTTCCAAGCTCCGGACCGTTTGCGGGTTTCAGGGTTGGGGTGGGGTTTAGATAGGGCCGAGGCTCGGGCAGTTTCAAAGGGCTGCCCCGTTCGGGTTGGGGACGGAAGTTTTCGAGCCTGTTCTTCTTGCCAACGCTTCTGGGTCTTATCAGTGGCCCTTTCTTGCTGCCTTTCCCATGGACTCTAAGTTTTCTTTAAGGGCAGAGGGCTTGGAGGACGGCTCTGCCCTGGGGCCTCTGTTGCAGGTTCCCAGGGCTGTGGGGGATGCCTTCTAGCAGTTCTGGGGCAGTTTGCCCCTGCCTGGGTTTTCTGCTTCTGGGCGGAGTTTTTCGCCCATCCAGTCTGCTTGCTTCCCACTTTTGCTGGCGTGTTTTCGTATCTTTTGCGTCGGTCACAGCCCTCTGTTCTGGGGGGCATTTTCTTCTACCAGTTTCTCGGCGTGGCCACCAGGGCAGCGTTGCGATTTGTTTATATGCACCTGGGTGTGCGAGTGAGTGTCCTGGGTGAGTTTTTTCACCCCATTCAGGGGTTTTATTCTCCTGCTGTCATTTATTTGCTTTTCTGGTGTTTTCCGCCCGTCTTTTGTTCCTCTGGGAATGTTTGAGTGTTGATTTTACACCGAGTTTTCTGTTTTTGTCTGTTTTGGGTCTGGGCCCTTGGGTTTGGGCTAAGTGTCCCTGTCTGTTATGCTTGCTCCCACACCTTGTCCCTTGGTTTTCGGTCTGTTTTGACCGTTTCCCTGGGGGGTTCTGTCTGGGGGCTGTGCTTTGCCTTTCTGTGGTGTATCTTCGCTGGCAAATGTTGTGGTTTGGGCTCCCCCTGGTTCGATTCCGGGTTCCTTTGGGTTCTTTGGTTTCATTTCGGAGGTTTCTTCCTCTTGGGCCCCCTTTGTGGGTTCAGGAGGCTTTGTTTCCTCGTGTGTGACCCAGTTCTGCCTTCTGGGGTTCCGGGGTCTTCCTGGCTTGCAGACTGATCTTTTTGGGTCTTGGCACATGTTGTGGTCGTGCTGGGACTTTGAGGTTTTGTTGTCGAGGTGGGCCTTTTGATGCAGTTTTGTGCTTTTTTTGCCTGGCTGGCGTGGTGCTCTCTGCCCACTGGTCGGCGGCTTGTAATTTTCTTTTCACGTGTATGTAATTACCTAAGTGTAATTACCTAAGTGTAGTTACAGGATGAGAGCTACGCTCGTGGTGTCCCGTCTTCCCAGCACTCTTTGTCATATAACGCTTTGAAACACTGACTGTAATGTGTGTGTGTACGCATGTGCATGTACATGTGTACACTGTGTGTGTGCACATGTGTGAAACATACCCTGTGCATATACATAATATATACTGTATATTGTGTGTGTATGTATTCGGAAGGGGCTCTGTTCCCTTTTCTGTTGACGGGGCACTGGGGGAGCAGCTTGCTCTGCTGACTCTCGCATGGTCCTGCAGTTAGTGGGCACTTTTGGTTGTCTTCCAGCCTCTGGTGGCGGCGGAGGACAGCTTCTCCCCCTTTGGGGGGTTCAGGGCTGGCGGGGTGGGCTTCTTCCCATGCGCTTCGTCATGTCATCATAGTGGGTGCGTTGGACGTGGTCGATCTGCCCCATCCTTCTGGGGTTCCCGTCTGCTCTATGCAGACGTGGGCCTGTCGAATCTGCGGTTCAGGATTTCTTCAGTCTGCCCCCTTTATTCTATGGCTTCATCGGAGGACTGTTGT